ATGGAAGAACAGTTGGATTCCAGTGACACTGACTGGCAAAACGTTCCCAGAAGAGTGGATCTAGAAAGGTGATTCCCTCCTCACTCTTTTCCTCATTGGCCAGTTCTAGGAATTGACATTTGTGAAGAAGCTGCACTGGGAGGAGGGACCTTTAGGTCTCTGTGTTTTCAGCTGGAGGGTCCCTGCTTTGGGTGAGTCATTTGCACTTACCACTTAGCTGGTTTCTCACTTGATATCCTCTTCCCTTCTGCCAGTTTGCAGCGGGTAGGGAGGGGGGTTAGTGGTCATGTAGCATCCTTGGAAAGCCCTAGAGATGGATGCCATGCCAAAGGATTTTGATTTCAGAGATGCCCTTGTTGGGGAGTCCAGTGCCCCTCCCCCAATGTACTTCCACTTTTCTCCAAGCCGGGCCTGCCACTTATGCCCACCCAACTGAAGGCACCCAGGAAGAGTCTCAGAAAAGGAGTGAGGGGCAGAAGGAGTGGTCCACACCAGAAATCCCTGAGCCCCCCACCTTGCCTTGGCCCGCCCTTCCATCCACCCACGGCAGGCCTAGCAGTCTGCTTGGCCAGGAGGAGAGGCCTGAGGTTTCAAAGAGTGGGAAGGGAAACCGCTCAGGGTGACTATGGGAAACAGAGCTCCGCCCCCCACACTCTGGGCTGCACCCCACTGCGTGGGAACTCCATGGCCCGAGCCTGGGATTAGCTCCATGGTAGGCAGGGCAGGTGGGCAGGGCCTTGGGGAGCAGGTTTCTTGGCCACAACTGAAGAGCCTTTGTGTTTTATTGCTGAGCTCAGGTTTTTGGAGGTCCACAGTATCTCAGGGAGCCAGCCTAATGCCTGCCCTGTTGGCTCAGCACTTCCGGGAAGCCATGAAAGTAGCTCAAACTGCCCAACCCGTGTTCTGGTGGGAAAACTGAGGCACTGTGCACAGGCCTCCAAGGCCTGAGTCCCAGATCCTGGAGCTCTCATGGTGGTTAAGGAGAATAAAAGTAATGTTTAAGGTCAGGAAATGAAGAGACTCATTCTTTGATATCCCTAGGATGCAAGAACCCCCTCTGCCGAGGGCACAGGTTCGATGGATCTCTCCACCCTTCACTCCCCATCTCTCTGGCTCCTTCCTGCCCTGAACATAGCAGCCTCTTGCAGGTATCCCCCAACCTGGGCTCTCAAAAGTCCCTGTTTCTGCCCCACCTCCTGACATTCAATCACTGGAAATCAGCTGGCGCTCCATCACTGGCCCACAAGCACTGGCTTCAGTATTGTAACTAGTATTTGTGCTTTTTCTCCAAAGGAATGATGGAGGCACTGAAATTACATTCCAGAAGGGATATCATCCAGAATGAGGTCCTGGGGTGTTAGATTAAGAAGTTGAGTGCTTTTATGGCAGGGTGGGAAGAACACTAAGCTGAGTGCCACCGTTGTATGTCTCTGAGCAAGTGACCCAACCCCTCTGGACCCTGGTCTCTACAAAATGATGGATTGTGTGGTCCACTGAACTCATAGACTGTATTTTACTCATCCCATTCCCACATCTGGGACAGCCTCTGCTCCTCATGTAAGAAGGAGCCTGTGGGCAAGGAAACATGGTACCTTCTGTGGACCAGCCCTGACTGCTTGGAGAACCAGGGAAAGTCAACAGGGTCCTCTCTACTCTCTGAACCCTGCCAGTGTCAGCTTCACATGATCAACTCAACACAAAGCAAGCCTTCTCTTTCCCTCCCCCACAGGGGCTTACAATCTGTTGGGAGACAGAGGGTAACACAACAGGAAACACTAGACACACATGCCAAGAAACAAAAAGTAACAGGGTACAGATTCATGTTACATGTGGTTGGGGTATAAATATAGATGTCAGCTAAGTAGGAACGAATGAGAGTCAGGAAGGGCTTCCCTGAAGAGGGGTCCTAGAAGTACCCAGTATAGTGCATAGTACTGGGTAGGTGCTCAAAATATATTTGTTGAATGAAGTTACAGAAAGGGAAGCCTACTGCTTCATAGAGGAGAGATGACTGTGATGATGGTGATAGTGATGATGATGACAATGATGGCTATGACAATAGTGGTAGTGGCGATGATGATGATGACGATGGCAATGATGGTGGTGATGATGACAGGAACTAACATTATTGAGCATTGAATATTTGCTAAGTGCTGTTTCTCTAAGTTTCACACGTACTCACTCATTTAATCCTTACAACAATTTTATGGGGTATGTGTTGTTATCTTCATTTTACAGATGTGCAAATTGAGGCACAGAAAGGTTAGGTCATTTGCCCAAGGTTTCACAGCTCGCAAGTGGCAGAGAGAGAATGCAAAGCCACATTATTTGGTTCTTCACAACCTCACCATACTGCCTGACAGGAGTAGTGACTGAACAGCCCTTTAGAAGGTAGAGGCAGCTTTGGCATCAGTTTTCTGGTTGTCAGAGCCAGAGTGGCTGTTGGAGAGGCTTGGACCACCATGGAGAGGGGCTGTGATGGTAGTGATAACGATGATCTTCATCAGTCATCATTCCCCAAGGGGCCTCCCTCAATTCCCACCCCCTTCTCCCAGGCTTCCAGATGAGGCTTACTGGCCACCTCTTTTTGCATAGAAGACAACTCTGTTTCTGCACTCCTGCCCCCATCAGCCCTTTCTCTCACTTTTCAGTTCTGAGTCCTGTTCCTTCAATGACTAGCATTCTCGCAGTTCCTGTCAGAATCACCAGGGGTCTACCTCCCTCTCTGAAAGCCTCCCAATCTGCCCAATGTAAAAAAATGAATGACATTCCCCCTGACCCTGCATCATTGGACCAAGACAGGAATCCCCAAGCCAGAAGCTTGGATTCTGGATTCCTAAGCACAGAGGGTAGAGGAGTGAGTAAGGGAGGGTCTTTAAACCTACTCAGTTTCTTCTCAGCCTCTCCCAGTTCTGTAACTCTTGGTTAGGGCCACTGAGATTGGAGAGTTAAGAACGCTTTGTTGGTCATGGAGGAGGAAAATAGGGCTCAGAGTGGGGAGTGCATGGCCAGGTTCCTTTGGTGAGCTCAAGACAGACCAGCTAAGAACCCAGCCCTCCTCAATTCCTGGTGTGTGCTCCCTCCTCAGACTCTCACCAGCCTGCAGTGCATCTGCTCAGGGATATGTCAGACCACACAGCCTAGTCAGTCAGTGGACAGCTGCAGGGTGTGATTATGGTTACCCCAGGGGACCCTGGAAGAGCTGTGTAGATGTGAGGAAGTGTGGAGAAGGGGAAGTAATCAGGGAATCTTTCAGAGCATTGCAAGGGCCCTGCTTGGAGGGACCAAAGAGATACTTATTCAGCAAGCATTTCATGAATACTTATGGTGTGTCAGGCACAGGAAATACTGCAGTGACCTAGAGAGAACTGTCCTGTACCCTTTTAAGGGGAGGAGTCAGGGGCAGCCTACTTCACTGACCATGGGCTTTGGAGCCCTCAGAGGTGCCCTGATCCCATGTCCCCACCATGCAGAGGCAAGGGCGAGCTACAGGCTCCTACTCTTGAACCCCAGACTCCCCTGGGGAGCCATTTAGGCCATTCCTTTGCATCTGGGCTGGTACAGGGCCTGGCATTGATATTATTGATGGCACTCCATAAATTGACTAAGTGAAGTAAGGATGCTAGGACATGATGTGTACAAATGGCCAGAAAGAGCTGAAGCTACCTATTAGAGAAGATGGCTGCACCAAGCTAAGTGGGCTTAGCCAAGTACAGGGTTAAGGAAGCTCATACAAAAGCCATTCTAGGTGGGAAAAAACAGCTGGTGGGGAGACCATAGGGAATATATTTATTCAATTCCACTGATCACTCCTTCCTCCTTGCAAATCTCTACTCTCACAGCTTCCATTGTGATGTGTAAATATTTTTAAAACAAATATTTACTGAGCACCTACTGTGTGCCAGGTGCTGGGCTGGGCACTGAGGATACAGAGATGTCAGAGACACAGACCCTGCTCTGGACCAGACTGAACTGGTGGAGGAGTCAGGTGTGAACATCCAAATACAAAGGCAGAAAAGAGCTTCGTTGGAAGTGGTTGGGTTAATACAGCTGGATCAGGGAAGATTCCAAGAGTAGGTGGCCTGAGTAGATTATGCACCAGTGGAGGAAGGGTAGAGCTTTCTAGGGAACTGTGTGAATAAGAGTCAGGAAGTAATGCATCTATCAGCTCTGCGCTTCTTGGTGGCTGAGACTGAAGTGCTCCTTAATATGGTTCAAGTGCTGATAAATGGAAGGAGGGTGAGAGGGAAACACAGAAACCTGGCATGTTCTCAGTGTAGTGCCTACGTCTTTCTTCCTGGCTGGGTAAGAGGGGCCAGTGCAGCTCAAGGGACAGGACTTAGCTGTGAGGGAGAAGAGAGCAACAGTGGTTCAGTGACAGCCACTGTGGGCCCTTGTGCTTCCCAAGTGTTTTCTGCCTCCTGATACAGTTTCTCATCCATCATATCATTTGGTTCTTCTAGCAACCCTGTGAGGTAGGGACCACTAGATTATCTGCCCCATTTGTTGGAAGAGACAACGAGGCCCAGGAAAGTGAAGCAGCAGGGTGGCTCCTCGGCTGGGGTTGTGCTCAAAGGCAGCACATTCCACCCTCTTATTAAAAACGAAGTAAACACATACTTAATGCCATGCAGGAACACTGATGGTATACTACCAGGTGAAAGGCAGCATATGGAACAATATGTAGAGTATGGTTCTGATTTTGTGTAAAAAAAATAATAATCAAATATGTGATTGCACAGATACAGAGGTAAAAGTAAAAGAATATTTCCTACAAGATTATCAGTGATATTTCTGAGTGGTGGGATCATGGGTTATTGTCATTTTCTTCTCATTATTTTCCAGTATTGCCCAGAGTGTTTTTATAACAAGCAATTATCCTTTTTATAATCAGAATAAAAAGAACAATAACTTCTAGAAAATACAAGACCAGTGCCCAGGTAGTTTGAATGGGAGTTTGTGCCTGTTGCTTACCTTTCCCTGCCATCTCCCTTGACCAGGTGCCCACACCCAGGTGGTCCAGGTGAACGACTCCATGTATGGTTTCATCGGCACAGATGTGGTGCTGCACTGCAGCTTCACCAACCCACTGCCTGGTGTGAAGATCACGCAGGTCACATGGCAGAAGGCCACCAATGGCTCCAAGCAGAATGTGGCCATCTACAACCCAGCCATGGGCGTCTCCGTGTTGGCTCCCTACCGTGAGCGTGTGGAGTTCCTGAGGCCCTCCTTCATTGATGGCACCATCCGCCTCTCCCGCCTGGAGCTGGAGGATGAGGGTGTCTATATCTGCGAGTTTGCCACCTTCCCTGCTGGCAATCGAGAGAGCCAGCTTAATCTCACTGTCATGGGTAAGCTGGCCCAACCCTGCCCTCCCCGCTTGTTCAGAGGCCTGTGGCCTGGGGGGTTGGCCATCCTCAGTGTGTGTTTCAGTGGCCCAGACATTCTCCTTCTGTTGGCATGCTTCCAAAGCTCCAGCATGGCACCTCAAGTCCTTCTGGCCAGGCTGTCCCATGGTTCACTAGGGATTAGGGGCAGGGCCTTACCTGTGCACAGAGCTGAGGCTCAGTATTAAGATTGTAGTTCCACTATGGGGCAATCCATGGGTGGCCAGGAGGCATGCTGAAGCATTAAACACCATGGTAAAGAAAAGAGCTGCTTGAGTCGTTTGCCTTGATCATGACAAGACTCCAAGAAGTCCTGTACTTGCAAATAGCAGAGCAGGAGGCTAGGCATTGTGAAGTTCCTGAGAGAAGTGCTGGGAGGGGCTTTGGTGAAGCGCAGCTGACAGGTAGTACAGTCAATCTCATGGATCTCTCTGATATTCCATGGCTCTCTCTGGTGTCCCACAGCCAAACCCACCAACTGGATAGAGGGTACCCAGGCAGTACTTCGAGCCAAGAAGGGTCATGATGATAAGGTCCTGGTGGCCACCTGCACCTCAGCCAATGGGAAGCCACCCAGTGTACTGTCCTGGGAAACACGGTTGAAGGGCGAGGCAGAGTACCAGGAGATCCGGAACCCCAATGGCACAGTGACTGTCATCAGCCGCTACCGCCTGGTGCCCAACCGGGAAGCCCACCAGCAGTCCCTGGCCTGCATAGTCAACTACCACATGGACCGCTTCCAGGAAAGCATCACCGTCAATGTGCAGTGTGAGCAGGGGCCAGATGCAGGCGGGTGGACCTCCTGGGCTGGACACCACTATCACTCCCCACTTCCACACCCTTACCCATCCTCCCTTCTCCTTTGCTTCTTGTTTCCTGTCACTCTCCCACCCCATTTCTTCCTCACCCACTCTATCCTTCCTTCTCCCTTCTTTTTCCTCTGTCTCCCTTCCCCCATCACCTCCTTTGCTCATCCTTTCTCTCCTTCCTTGTTCCCCTTGCTGCTTCTGTGATCTTCACCAACCCTCTCTCTCTTCCCCTCTTCTAGCTGTTTCCATGTCACTTCCAATTTTAACCATTTGCTGTCTGAGATTCTCTTGTCCCCCATGTCCTGCTCTCTTGACTTCATTCTTTTCAAACATCATCCTTTGCCCCACAGATGAGCCCAAGGTGACCATTGAGGGATTCGATGGGAACTGGTACCTGCAACGGATGGATGTGAAGCTCACCTGCAAAGCTGATGCTAACCCCCCAGCCACTGAGTACCACTGGACCACGTAAGTGCTGTGGGGCTGACTGGTCCTTGCAAGGTACCTTCCTGGTCACAGAGATGCCCACCCACGCAACCTCCAAGGGCCTTAGGCAGGGAGGAAATTGGGGTACAGGCTCAGGTTTTCTCAGTCAGAAGGAGAGGAGCCACAAGAGACTCCCACACACACACATACACTCACGTGTTTGACAGAGTCATGGTCAGTGGGACAAACCATTCTGCCAGAGGGGGTTTACCTTCTGTGATATACCTCTCTTCTGCTCCCTAAAAATTTTATCATTTTCTGTTGGTGATTCAATCTGAGTCACTGCCACCTGAGCCCCTAGAATTTATTTTTATCAAAGTGTCCCCAGGAAAGCTGGCTTTTTGAAGCATTCCAGAGCTTTCTTTGCTCCTATTCCTTCTTACCAACACCCCTGGATTCTCAGGGAAGAGGCAGCAGTCAGCTTAGAATACCTGTGTTCATAGAGCACTCATTTCCTATCCCATGATCCCATTCTTGGCTTCACAGTCTTTAGGCCTGACCCTTGAAGGGTTCTGTCTCCCCCAGTTAGTGCTTATGGCTTGAGCCAAAATTCTTCCCAAAGAAGGGCTCGATAGAACACACAGAGAGACAGGGGTGTAGGTGAAGGCAAGAAGAAGCTTGACATGGGTGGTCAGAAGACAGCTGTCCAGATTATATCTACACTCTTTTCCAGGAAGTAGGAGGCATAGGATACTCTGGCTACTTACCTTTTACTTTCTGGAATCAAAAGTGATCCTGAATGGGCAGGGCCTGCTTGCCAGTTTCAGCTTTGTGGACCAAGCGTTACCGAACAAAAGGATCCGTTGGGGGGTGCCCAGATGCTATTACCAAAAGAATGACACACTCCTTCCCTGGGATCCCTCGGTTGTGGGCCCTTTCCCCGCTGCCCTTGGAATTATGGCTCTGAATGGCAGAGTTTGATGAAAAGGAAAGGAACTATTTATTCAAAAGTTATACAGGTTTGATTAATGGCTAAATGTCACCCATAAACCTCAAAATCCCTTCAAAACAATCACCAGCACACACACCCTCCTGCCTTTCCCCACTTTGCCCAGTTAGGCCAGTCAGGCCAGTCAGGGATACCATCCTTCAGAAGAAAAAGAACAGAAGTCCGGGGCTCAGCTAGGCAGGCCTCCTGCAGTTCTCAGCACCATCCACTGCATCGCCTCAATCTCCTGCTCTTAATCCATAACCATGTGGCACCTTCTCATGGCCCACTAGCAGGAGTCCTTTCTCCCCTCTTTCTTCCCAGTTGGTCTGCACATTGTTCCCCAGAGTCTGTGTCCCTCTGTCTCTCCTGCAGGCCTGTCTCTCCTCTTTCTCTCCAAGTTACATTATGTGTAAGTCTTTTTTAGCCTTCCTGATTAGCTTTGGTGATATGCAAAATAACCCTCTTTGCATATGAGGAATGAAGCTATCCTGTTATTGACATGCAAAATAACTCTCAGGGGCCCTGCTCAAGGCTGCCTGCCCTGGGGTGGGGAGAATATATTTTTCTTGGACACCCCAATCTCTGGACCCCATTACAAATACCCTTTGCGGGGGTCCTGGCTGTCCCATTACACAAGGACCTACTAAGTCCCACAGAATAATTGCTTTGTGACACTGGGGATCAGGAGGAAGGGAGAAAATTTCCTATGTTCTGAAAACTTCCAGGATGCTCCCAACAGGAAAAAGTCCTGTGACATGCCCAGCAAGGAGATAAGATAGTGAAATGGAGGAATTCCTAAGCATAGGTCACACCTCATTACCTGAGTAGCTTGTTAAAATACAGATTCCCAGGCCATGGAACCAGTGGTCCAGCTTCAGTCAACCTAGAGTTAGAACCATGACATATGTACTGTTAACCAGCTACCCAAGAAACTAGGCATCAACAATCAGGAACCATGAGTATTAGAAAGAGCGCTGTGCCAGGAGTCCAAAGATCTGGGTAAAGCTCCCTTTCAGTCACCTGCTCTCTGTTTCCTTGGCCTTGAACCTCAGGTTCCCTATCTGTTATCTGCCTAATCTATCTGCATTTCAGAGCTGTGATGATCAAGTGTGAAATGCTGAATAATGTAAAACTGCCAAATGCAAGAAATTATTATTATTGTTATTGCTTTTACTCCTTCCAAGATAGACCCTACCAATTAACTCAGAAGAAGGGCTGCTGGTGGGCTTGGAGCCACATGGGTGGCACAGGAGAGTCATAATCCTCTGCCCTGTTTCCCAATCCCTGCAGGCTGAATGGTTCTCTCCCCAAGGGCGTGGAGGCCCAGAACAGAACCCTCTTCTTCAGGGGACCTATCAACTATAGCCTGACAGGGACCTACATATGTGAGGCCACCAACCCCATTGGCACCCGCTCAGGCCAGGTGGAAGTCAATATCACAGGTAGGAACCTGTATCCTTCCCTGCCTCTCCCCCCCACCCACTGCTTCCTCTGCAGCCATCATCCCCCACCTTTGGGTTGTTTTGTTGCAGGAAACTTGTGTCTCCTTTTCCTGCTTCTCTCATTCTTCCTTGAACTCTGGCCATTGGTCTATATTTGCTTTTTTCTTTCACCTGTTTAAGGCTGTATGTGAGACAGTCAGGGTAACCCTCAATCAGGGAGAGGAAGTAAGTGCTGTCTACAGCAATGATGTTGATGGTAGGGATGTTAGAGACTGCTGCCATGTGATGCTAGATTCGTGGGGCTGAGCTTATAGGTGGAGTTCATCTCCTCCACACTGTGCTTCTGCAGTTCAGGAAACCTTCATAGGCTGGAAAAGGCTTGCCTCAGCAAGGATATTGGAGGGAAAGCAAGGATATACAGCACAAGGCCATGGTGGTTTGTGTGCTCTGACACTGAATTGCTGTTTTCCCTGCATTTTTCTCCCTGTCAGTGCAGATGGAAAGGTTCATCCACCTAACCTTTCAGAGCAAAAGGAGGACATAGGTTAAGATGTTCTGGAGGAGGAGACTTCACATGGAATAAGAAAGGAGCATGGGCTTCAATGTATGGCAGATGGGACTCTGGTCAAGCCCTCATCTGTAAAATGGGGATGCTGTGAGGTGACTTGAAGGGTCAGAATTATACATAACTTAGGCTAAGTACTTAGCACAGACCCATCTGCCAATAAATGGCCCATGCTCTATGATTATCTTGACCTCTATCGTTATTATTAAGGGAAAGATCAAAACAAACCAACAGCGGGATAAATTGTCATCACAACTTCATGACAGGAAGAGGGAGTGACTTTAACATTGTACCTAAGCTAGATGCAGGGTGAGAAAGTGAACAGAAAGTGACTTTGTGTGGCTGCTGAGATGATTAAAGTGACATCGGAGGGTAAGTTTCATGCACAGAATGTTAGGCCAGGCTCAGAACAGTAAGTGAGATGGAGGTTACTGGGCTCTAAGTGAAGGGCTTGGGGAAACCCTGAGGCCTGTCTTAGGAATATGAAACCTCCTTTGTGGTACAAGGCCTAGCTGCAGAAGGAGCAGGCAGAAGCAGTCCAAGTACTACACTTAGCTAGCCTCAGGGCAGTTCTGTCACCTCTCTGGGCAGAGAAGGGTTCTGGAGCCACTTGTCACTTTTTCTTTTCATCTACTCTCTGCCCTTGGCCTTCAGGCTACTTAAGGGAGAGGAAGTATTAAAAGTGGAACCTGAGGACAGCTGAGGCAGCCCCTCCCTCAGGCTAGGGTTTAGTGTTCCCAAAGGTTGACAGGAAGGGAGGGCTAGAGTCAAAGACTTCTTCCTTCCTGGAGAGAATTTGAGCAAAGCTTGATTAAAGCCTCATAGTGCCTGAGCTCTGGCCCTGGGTCTGTGGTGGAAGACATGGATGAGCAGTAGTGATGAGAGAGCATGACCGCCCCAGAGAGAGGCTTGTCATGGGAGGGATAGTGCAGATTTGGCCTGAGTGTGTTCACATACTGGCTCTTCTTGGTTGTGTGGCCTTGAACAAGTCCTTCACCTCTCTGAGCCTCAGCTTCCTAGTCTGTAATATGGAAATAGCCAGGTTTTTACAATCACATCAAATCTATATTCTACTGCCTGGTACATGGCAGGTAGTTCCTTCATGGGGATACCTCTCTCTCAGGTGGACCACCCATACCACCAATGCACACTGCATCCCCCACTACCACCAAGTTCTCCAGGGAAAGTACTGATTAGAAAATCAGAGGATGAGGCCAAGAAACCAAGGAGCAACATCCTCCCGTTGACCCTAATTCCCAGCATGAGTGGACTGCCCAGAGGCCAGAGGCCCTTCTAGGCTTATGTGGCTCATGGTACTGCTCAGCCCCAGAAACAGGGCTGGGGCAGGAAAGTCAGGCCTTCATTTTCCCAAAGCCCAGGAGGATACAGGGCGACTGTTTCCTCAGTACAGACTACTCATCAGGAAGTCACTCCAGATCTAGAAGCAGGGAGGAAGGCAAGGGTGCATTTCCCAGGCCCTGGCTACAGAGAAGAGAGGAAAGGAATGAAGAGAAACTGGCTGTGGAGGTGGCCATCTTTCTAGGAGTCAGGCCTAGGCAGCCTTTGGGCAGGTGGTCACGCCTTAGGGCAGGTTGGCTGGGGCTTCCCAGGGCACACAACATGTCCTCCTATGCTCCCTGGAGGTACAGAGTGGGACAAGGTTGTTAACTAAAGACACACACATGGGCGGTGAGAAGGGCCTTGCATAAGGGAACTCTGTTGTTGGCAGTCCAGTTGGGCAAGAGCCATGGAAGCATGACATGTCCTGAATCATTGATAGGCCCAGGAGCTGTTTAGCTGGTCACCCTAAGACAAGGTCTGACAGCCCCATCAGGAGAACTCAGCCAGGAAGCCCAAACCTTTTCAGAGTTATTTGTTCTTGTGCTCAAGGGCAATCTCCAAGCAGCAGCCAGCCCCACCAGCCTTTACTCCACATTGACTAGTGCCTGTCACATTCTCTGGAGGCCCACTGTAGGAGGCACAACCATGCCCTGTGCTCTGAAGCCTCACTGGCCTAGAGGGAATGCATCAGTGAGACAGATAAGTGGAAATTTAAATTTTCATTCTGTCCATCCATTCAGGTAATAGCTTTGCCCTGAGTGCCTATAGAGAGGAAAATGAAGAGTAGTTGGAGCAGGGACAGAAGGTGTGCAGAGGAGAATGTGTCACAGACACATGCGTGTACAGGTCATGTATGTCCCTGCCTGCTGCACCACCTGCACAGACACACTTTGGCACAGGATTCTCAAGGTCCCAGATCCTGGAGAAGGTGTTACTTGAGTTGTTCCTGCAAAGATGATTGAGTGGGCAGTGGTGGAGGGTAGGAGTTCTCAGGCAGGGGAAGTATGTGGGAGGAAATGGAAGGAGTGGGGCTTGCTTTCTGTTGGCCCAGGGGAGCCTCTGAAAGGCTCCTGCAGAGAAGCAGTGTGGCAGAGCAGGTGGGTCAGACTGAGCAATTAGGAGGCTTTGTGGATGGCACCTGGGGACCAGTGAAGGGCTGTAAGGTAAGGTTTTTCCCAGTGGGAAACAAGAGGCCTGGGCTGTGACTGTCAGGATGAGAGCAAAGGAGACAAACTCACCCGAATTTCCACAGGGCCTGGGGCTCTCCTACTGAGGAGCAATTTCACAGGGTTGGCCAAATAGTCACAAAATAAACTACTGAGCTCCCCTCTACTTTCCACTTGGGGGTAATGCTGAGGATGGGGATGGGTGCTTGGAGTATGGTTTTAGCCAGACAAAAGAGGCCAAATTAGGCGGAATCTATGTCCCTGGGACGGGATGTCAGGAAGGGAGTGTCCAAGTCACTCCCAGAGCCAGTCAGGGAGGTCACTGGGGGTAGGGTGTTTATCCCAATTCCCATTTCTGGTGAAGTTAAGAGAGCGTACCCATTAGGTAAGGGATTCTTCAGACCAAGGGTTGGTGGGGCTTCAAGGTCCATCCCTAGGAGGGAGGGGGTGTGTGAGCCTGTGAGTATGTGTGCCTGATCCTGAGTATGGGTATGTGTCTCTGAGCAAGTGAATGTGTACCCACAGGCAGGCACATGGCCGTCTGCATGCTGAGTGCACACATGGAGCCTGTGGCTGTGCAGTGGGCACGTGTGCCTTTCTTCAGGCTGGGAAACAGCAGTGCACTGGGGAGTCTGTGAGGAGGCAGCAGCACCTGCGCCCCAGGGGAATACAGTTCTCCTCCAGTGTGATGAGGCTTGGTCTGCTGGTCTGACAGATACACAGCTGCTGCAGTTGCAAGGGGAAGAGAGGGGCTTCTTGCCCTCCCTGTAGCCCACTGCACTGCACACCAGCAGATGTAATTCTCTCAGCTTCCTAGCCCAATCCTCTGATGCCTGCCCACATTGCTTTTAGAAGCAAGTACAAATATTTCTTTTTGACCCCAAGCCTTCTCCAGATCCTAGACGCAGACTGTAAACTCTAACTCTTCACTCCACTTCCCATCCATCTGAAGTCCTCACAATCATCCACCTACCTCAGGAATGCAGAGTCCCCACTGCCTCAGAGGGGAGGCCGCAAGCCTTCAGGAATGGGGGCTAAGCCGCCCCCTTTGTAAGAGGATATGAGGTATGCAGGTGGACCCCTGCCAGCAAGCACAAGTGAGCCCACTGCTCAGCTCTTTTCTCCCCTCCCAGCTGCAGCTATTGAGGCTGTGCTCCTGGCACAGAGACAGCAGCTACTGGCTGAATGTGACATCTGGAGGGACAGAGTGGGAGGGGGCAGGTCCTCCATTCCCTACCAAACAGCCCCTTCTGCTTATGAATTAATTAGATCCCTATATCTACTATTTTCTCCTGCGCCCTCCCTGAGCATCTTCACTCTCAAGTCTGCAATGATGGAAGGTCATCTTAGCCATTCTTCTTCCTCTACACAGGCCTTATCCTAAAGCAGCCAAAGCAACAAGGATTCCCTTTGGTCCAAAAAGCTCCCTAGCTATCCTAGGGAGAGTAAACCTCATTAGAACTAGAAAAAAAAAAGTTAAATAGAAGGGCCTAGTAGGGAAAGAGACCCAGTATCATCTTTCCCCAAGCCACCTCTCTCCTCCTCCAGTCACCTGCTCCAATGAAATGAGGTCCCCAGTGCATGCATTTCTTTGAGTGTCTCCAGGATACTTGCTCTGCCTAGAGCAAGGCTCACCTATATGATATAACCTTGTCTTTAAACAGTTTATTCAACTAATTCTTGAACTCCAGCCACATGCCTGGCAATCTAGGTGTGTGGGGACACATAACTGAGCCAAAAAAGTCCCTGTCCCTATGGAGCTTACATTTTAGCACAGGAGAACAGACAACAAGCAATAGATAAAATACATTTGAAAAATTATATAGTCATTTTGAGAAAAGAAGAGCCTCATAAAAGGGTCCCAAGTGTTGGGGGTGGGGGTTTGTGAGCTGTAATTTTGCATAGGGTAGTCAAGGAAGGCCTCAATGAGAATGGGACACTTGTGCCAACCCCTGAAGAAGGTGAGGGAGTGAGCATGGGACACCTGTGGGAAGAGCCTTACAGGGTTGCAGAGCAGCCACTGCCAAGGCCCTGAGAGTACCTGGGGTGGAGAAGAGCAGGAGATGAGGTCAGAGGTGGAAGGCAGAGGCACAGATTATGTGGAGCATATAATCTCCCCAGACTAACAGGATTTCTGTGGCTGTTGTGTTAAAAAATAGTCTATGGAGGAAATGAGTGGAATCAGGCTAGAAAGGTGGCTATAGAAATAATCCAGGTGAGAGAGAGTGGTGGCTTGGATCCTGGTGGTGGCGATGGTAAGAAGTAATCAGGTTCTAGATTTACTTGTAATACAAATGTACAGACTAGTTGGGATACCAGCCACTCTCATGAAACAGGTAATACTGTAAACTCTACCACATTGTGATTAGTGGGGTCCAAGAAATTCAATCTAGTCTAGTAAAGTGTAGAAGAGCTTTATTTTTATTGGGTCTCTGCCATTGCAGAAAGCATGAAAGTAAATGTAGTGGAATTCACATTACATGCCATTGTAACACACTAAATTGAGTCAATCCCAATTATCTTGAAGATTCACTCCCTCCACCCTTCTCAGGCATTCCTGCAGAAAAGGGAACCTCAGCCATTTGAACACTGGCAGAAGGACAGGAGCCAATCCTCACTAGTTTGCATTTGTCGCAGAGTGTGTTATCACAGGCTCTACTATAATATGTCAGTGTATGATTAATGGAATAGCCTTAACTATTGTTTATACCATAATGAGAGGTATAGACCATTAATACAAAAAACTGTAGAGAGGGAAGATAAGTGTGAGTTGAAGAAGAGAAGGCTGAACAGAGAGGGGCTGGAGGACTGGGATAGGCACAGGGTGAGCAGAAGCACTTCTGGAAGAATGGACAGCAAGAACAGGGTGTCAGCCAAGCCCAAGATCAAGTTACGTGATGGAAGCTTTGAAGACCAGACTAGCATGTGTGACAGGTAGTAAGGAAATCATTAATAGTCTTGAGAAAGGGAGTGGTAGTGAGTACACAATGAAAAATAAGACTGGTGATTGTGGCTGGAATGGCTAAAGAGGGGCAGAGACTGAATGAAAGTGGGAGATTTAGGAATCTAAGACAACACTAAAACCTGGCATAAAATGTAAGATATTGAATAGGAAGGGTCAAAGATAAATGAAGATATAGGCCGGAAAGGTAGATAAATGATGGTGAGAGTTGTGGTGTTGATAGGAGAGAGTTTGGAGGGAAGATGGTGAAACAGATAGACACAGATGGGTTGAGATGGTGGAGAGAAGTCCAAATGAGGATATGCTAAAGAAGAATTTCCAAAGTATGTACCCAAATGAGAATGGCCCTTGAGTCTGGAAGGGTGGGGTTTATGCTCTAGTAGGCTGGGGAACACTGCATCCTCCATGTTTCTATTGGAGTTCACAGTGTACTTAAAAAGATGAAGGGCTCTGATGCTTTGTTTAAACCAACATTCCCCAAAGTATTTAACCCCAGTATTTTTGCCGACATCTAAGCCAGTGCTTTGAGATTCCATGGGCTACAGTTTGGGAAATATCTTCTGAGAGTCCTTTGGAGAAAAAGTCCGAAAGTTTGAAAAGCTAGCAGGATAAAGGTAACTTATGACCCTGGGCCAGGTCTGTCACTAGGAAAGTAAGCAGACAGTAAGGGCTGAAGGTCCACTGATGGAGTGTTCAGCCAGGTGGCTGGAACATAGCTCAGGCCCAACAATGCAGCCAGAGACAATCAGAGAGGAAAGCCAAGATCTGGGAATTCTTTTATTATAAGGCAAGGGAAACCTTTTCTAACTCCAGGCCCCATGATCTCTTCTCATTTCCTGAACTCCTGAGGCACTTTCTCTGCCAGTGACCTGGACATCTACATACAGCTTTGTCTCTAAGAATGTCCTTTGATCCCCCAACTAGGTAGTGAGTTTCTTGTATCCTGTGACAACTAGCAAAGTAGATACTCAGTACATATTTGCTGATTGGGTGGACGGATAGATGGACAGATGAGTAGATGGGTGGATAGATGGAGGAGGTGAGGAGGGGAGAGAGCATTCCTATATGGGGTGAGAACTGAAGAGGTAACAGGCAGGTGGAAGGTACAGAAGAGGCCAGCTGCCTCTTGGGTTCCCCTTATGGAGGCAGCTCCCACCTCATGGGAAGCAGGGCTGCCGCCCCTTTAAAGGTAGTAAACAGATGAGACCTGGTGAACCAGAGGAACCTTGAGGTTCCAGGGATACTGCTTTGGAAGGAGGCAATAAGGACAAATAATTCAATAAATATTTATTGGGCAGCCACTTGGGGCGCTGCACTGAGGACACAGTAGTCACAAGTAGTTGAGCTTCTCTCTGCCAACTCCTGCATGTGAAGAAGCCAGGAACACATATGGAGAAGTGTCTGGGTAGCCCCAGCTCAGCCATGTGCCTGAGCAAATAGCCTCCCCTTCTTTGGCCCCAGTGTTTTCATCAGCCCATCCAGCCTGAACTCCTGGAAGGCCTTTACTCTTCTCTTCTAGAATCTCTGCCATGCTCCTTACCTGCTGTAGATAACACCACACACTCTCACACACATTGGCTGGCCAGCTTCTGGGAGAAACAAGTGTCTCATGGGAGGAGCAGCATTCCCCTGAACTAGGTGAAGCTGAGTCAGGGAGAGAGCTGGCAGAAACCAATTCCTAGAGGCTGAATGCTACCCAAATCAACCCTTTACCTTGGCCTGAATAAAGGAAGGGTGAGAGCATGGGCACTGAGCCTCCAGGTTTGCCTTAGACCTGCCCATCAGCACCTCTGGACCTAGGCTAGCTATGGTCTCCAGTGCCACCCTGTGGTGATGGTGGGAACCACCTCCCTCATCCTCTCCTTGGCCCCTTTTTGCCTCTGGGCTGGCCCCACAAACAATGAAAGTCACCCATTCAGCCTTCTCTTTCCTTCCTCCCACTTCCTTTCTCTTCTTTTCATCTTTTCTGCCTTTTGTTTCCATACCATCCTCAGTATGAACATATTTGGACACACAAACTCATCACATCAGCACAGGCATATGGGCTCTCTGTGAGCACAAGGGGTGTGTGCCTGTGCATATGCCCTCTGAGTATACATGTCATCTTTACTATATACTCCTGTGCTCTCATGTCCCATTTCTACACATCCATTCTAAGCATCTTATGCTCATGGCCCAAGCTGGTAGCATCTCTGGCCTCCACCTTGCCCTGTGGGGCCAGACCACAACCAACAACCACAGTCCTGGTGTCTGGCACTCACGGACATCTATGGGGTCAGAACCTGGGAACCTGTCCCTTCCCTCTACCCTATGAGCAGATGAAATCAGGTGGCACCTAGTGACCAGCTGGTGCTGGGCAGAGGGGCAGTAGTGACATTTGCACAGGCTTGTCATGCAAAAGAACCAACATTGCATCACTGATGGCTTTGGGAGTTCTTTATCCCCTCTAAGCCTCTGCTCTCTGTGTGTTAAGTGGAAGTTGATAGCAAACACACTTCACAGGGTATCATGATAGTGACTGCATCTAGTGAACACTGGTCTGGCACCTGTGCCTCCCTGCACTTCTAGTGAGGATGATCTGAGCTGGCACAGCATCCATGGAGACTCTGGGGCTACACAGCTCTCTCTTCCTCTCTTCTCTCTTCTCTGCCAACACTCCTGCACATTGGGCTTCTCGAGGGGAGAGTTGTGGAGGAACTGGAGCTGCCCTTGGGCTCACCTTCTGGCCTTTCCCTCCCCTACCTCCCTCCTTCCCTTCCACTGAGCAGACAATGACACTGTACCTCCATCTCTTTTATTCCCCCAGAATTCCCCTACACCCCATCTCCTCCTGAACATGGGCAGCGGGCCGGGCCAGTACCCACGGCCATCATTGGGGGCGTGGCAGGGAGTATCCTGCTGGTGCTTATTGTGGTTGGCGGAACCGTGATGGCCCTGCGCCGGCGCCGTCATACCTTCAAGGGTGACTACAGCACAAAGAAGCATGTATATGGCAACGGCTACAGCAAGGCAGGCATCCCCCAGCACCACCCGCCCATGGCCCAGAACCTGCAGTATCCTGATGACTCAGATGATGAGAAGAAGGCCGGCCCACTAGGAGGGAGCAGCTATGAGGAGGAGGAGGAGGAGGAGGGTGGTGGAGGAGGCGAACGCAAGGTGGGAGGCACTCACCCAAAATATGACGAGGATGCCAAACGGCCCTACTTCACAGTGGATGAGGCAGAAGCCTGTCAGGACAGCTATGGGGACCGGACTCTGGGCTACCAGTATGACCCTGAGCAGCTGGACTTGGCCGAGAACATGGTTTCTCAGAACGATGGGTCTTTTATTTCCAAGAAGGAATGGTACGTGTAGTCCCCTCTCCAGACTACATCCCTTCTGTCTTCACTCCTCTCCAGCCCCACTCACACACCTGCCTGACTCCCACCTGCCCCTCACCACCTAATCCTCCACAAACTGACAGGAGACTCGCTCAGCTGCCCAAAGCCAGACCCTCACTTGCTGGGAGCCATTGAGCCTTGGGCAGATACAACCTGCTTTGTTTTGATTCCCACTCTCCCCCACCCCCCTGTCCCCTGTTCTCCCCAGGATTTCATGCTCATTGTGACTTTGATGTTCCTGAACCTTTCCTCCCCAACTGCAGCCTCCTGCCCTCTGTGCAGGGCACCGATTCTCATCTTGTATACCTAGGCATCTGTTCCTCCAGGGTTTGGGGAGCCAGCCCTCCCCTGTCCCAACACTGGAATTTCTCTATGTTCTCTCCACTAGGGGAAGGAGGCTGCAGAGCCTCCCAGAGGAAAAGCCTCACCCCCAGATGCTGCTCTTTTGTTCCCAAGAAGAGGGAACTCAACACCCCCAATGTGAGCTGACGCAGCCGGGAGTTTGAACCCCGGTCTAGACAGCAATTGCACCCAAGAGGTAGTGTGTGAGGTATGGCTTCTCTGAAGCACCCAGAGTTGTCTGGGTAAATCAAGTTGAATAGAGTTGAGGTCCCACCTGGGGCCTTCGGCAGTATGTTTTCCTAATGAGGTTGGTTTTATATATTTTTTCCTTTTTATCCTGCAGACAGTAATGTCCTACATGACCTTCCTCTTTACCCCAGTTTTTCCCCACAGAGTGGGACTCCAAGGTGGACTCTGGCCCACACTTCCCACACAGCTCTACTGACACAATACATGTACCCACATACACACACACCACTCATGTCTGCTTCTGTGCACCCCTAGGGGTACATACCTTACCCAGGCTGGACACTGCCCAAGGCTTGCCTCTCTGCTCCATTTCTTCCCCCTTCCCAGTTGACAGTGGGGTGGCCTTCAGAAGCTTTCAGGACAGCTGAGACTATGCCTCCAATGCCTCCACCTAGGATCTCAGGCTGGCCCTAAACTGCTTCTTACAGCATGGAAGTTCCTCAGATTTTTCTTAGCTATTCAATGCTAGCAACTCTTGATTCTCTTGGGGAGTCAGGGCTGGGATCCCAGAAGGGAAACGTGTCCAGGAGTTAGAGGTGAGCAAGTAACCAGGTAGAGGGCATGGGGAGGCTTCCTCCCCTGTGTTAGCAGCTCTGCAAATATAGTCACAAGACTGAAAGATGTAGGTAGCACCTCACCCACAAAGGCCAGAAAGTGCAAGGGGAGTAGGGGAGCCAGGGATACCGAGTCAAAAGCTCCTACTTGCTCCTGCTCACCACTCTCTACTTCCTGCTCAGCTATCCCTGGTCTTTGTTTTGAGTGAGGGCACCTTGGAGAAGCTTTCCCTTTGAGTTGTAGAATACCCCCTTGAATGGGGTTCTGAGTTCCTGTCAGCCACCCAAGACTCAGTCTTCCCAAGACTCAATCTATAAAATGGGGGAAGACCCCTCCCAGCCCTCTCAGTTCCCCTAGCTCAAAGTGCCTCAGTTCCTCCATCTGCCCACTGATTGCTCCCTATACCCCACCCCTGGCACTCTAGATAAGAAAGATCCTGGGATGGGAGAGGCAGGTTCATGCCTGCCCATTAGGATTCCAGCTAAATCAGCCTAGGGTGTCAGGAGCTCTATGGGATGGCAACTCTTGGGGGGAGGTGACAGACCACTCTGTTCGCCACTAATGCTAGACTGCCCTGCCATAGGCTTCCCAAAAAAGCTCCCAATTCCAACCTCCACCCCATTTCTCCCCTTCCTGGTGCTGCTATTGGACCCCTAGCCAGCTCCATCTCGGCCCTAACAACCCTGGGCCCACCAGGTGGGCCACCCTCATCTGGCTGCCACTGCCCAAGCCACCCAGTAGCCACGTAGCAGAATTCTGAAGCCATGCCAGTCCCGGGGGCATTTCTCCCCTCTCGGCATTGAGGGTACTGGGAGGGTACTGGATAGAGTGGAATTAGGGGAGAAAATTCTGGGATCTTTCTAGCCATAGGGCAGAGGAGGGGTAGAGGAGCTGGGCTGCTTCTCCCAGCAGTATTAGTGCCCCCCCCCACCAGGCCAAAGGACCATTTTCCATGTTTTACCACTGCCCCATCCCACCTCATTCCACTCTGACTCCTGTGTCTGGTCCCCTTGCCCCAAGGCAGGAGGAAATCCCAGGGGCCTGCCTGATGGAGCCATTCTCTGTCCCCTTGAAACCATAAGACTGAAAGGATTCCTCCTGTGTTGACCTGACCCTACACTGCCTACCCCTATTTCTCACTTTATGATGGACTTAGGCCCCCAGGCCCAGCCAAAGCACTGAGTCCCCTTAAGTCACCTCCACACCCTCCCCTCAAACAAAGCACAAATTGTTGTGCCTGTGCCACACGCATGGGCCACATGGGAACTCCTGCCTAGCCCAGAACCCAGCTGCGACACTACCAGCAAGGAAGCTGCTCCCCAAGGCCAAGAGTAGACATGAGGCTGGGGTAAGCACTTGGGCTGGAGTAATGGGGTTTTCTGTACCCCAAGTTTGTGGGCATGCAGGCACAGCTACTGGGCCCACAGACACAGCCTCTGACAAAGGGAAGGTGTAGCCCATCAGAAAGAAGAGGATGTTCTCCTCCATGACACCAGCATGAGCGAAGCTTCTGCCCTTGCTGGAAAAGAAATAAACTTGGTATTCATTGTGCCAAGAGCTTCCCAGTTGTCATCCTGCCTCTGCTTGCCCTCCCTATCCTTGCCCAGCCTCTATTCCATCTATACTTGTATTTCCTTAAGATTTTGATGTTCTAATGTGTAATAGAAACTTCTGAGTCCTTTCTCTCAGAAGAATCTGAAAGGCAGCAGCACAGGAATGCACATGTAGCCATCTGAGACCCCGCCCACAAGCACATGGGGCACACACCCCCAACAGACCCCCAGCACAGGCAGAGGCGCACACACACACACTCAGGCATGGCAGAGGAATGGGTTGGTCCTGCTGAAGCCCTTGAAGATAAACAGTGATTTCCCAGTGCTCAGGCCATAAGACAGACTCACAGAAGCTGTGTCTCTTGGACATGTGCCCCTCTGCCAACCCCTTCCTGTGTGCCCAAATCACTGGTGCAATAATTCTGCCATTCTCCAAGCAGAGGAACCAGGGATTGTGTTAGGTGGGTATGGAACTCACCTGGGAGGAAGGGAGTGCTTCCAGGCCTCCTGGAGGGCAGACAGAGTCCTCCAAAGTCTGACTGCCACCAGTAACCCTCTCCTGATGAATAGCACGTAGGTATCACCCAGTCCCCACATATCCACAGGGTGCCATGCACTGCCGACGGGTGCCTGGAAAAACAGGCCTGTGCTGCTGCTGCCCAAGTGTGAGGCCAGAGGAACCCTGCCCACTGGTGCTTCAGCTCTTCCCACTACTGCTGTGAGGAATGGGATTCTTGGCCGGAAAAAAAAAAACAACAACACAATTTTCTTTTTTGTATAAATGAAAACAAAATCCAGGAGAAGCTGCCACCCTCCCCTCTGAATGTGAGGCATACACTTTGCTTCAGTTTCTTTGTCCATATTTTTGTCTTTGGTCCTAGGGATGGCTCAGCAGATTCTTCTGGTTCTGACCCAGGGGTGTTTGCATCACCCTCTTTTACTTATATTAAAAAAAAAAAGTAATGGGTTGAAAAATGTACTGAGGGAAAAAAATGTACTTTTTTATAATAAATGTTTAAAACAATGCTGGCTGCCTCGTGTCACTTCTTTTATCTCCATGGAGTGGCTGTGCCCTTTCTCTAGGCGGCCACAGGAGTGGGGACAGGGCAGAACTGGAGACCCACCCAGCACCATAGTTAAGGAAAGGGAGCCTCCATCCCCAATATCCAGACTCCATGGTTCTGGAGCAGTGATGCAAACCCCTGCAGGAACCCTAAGCCACCGTCTTGCAAGAGCCACAAGAGAGAATGTACATGTCCAGCCTTTGTCCTCACCCACAGCTCACAGTTGCCATTGAACCATCTTCCACACAAAGACTTTGGATAGTAGCACTCAAAGGATTTAGCCTCTGCAGGTGTAGGCAGGGGAGCCTTTAAGGATGCCTGACCTGAGAGGTCAGGGGCTAGAATCCTCTGCCCTCCTGCCCCAGAGCTGCAGAGATCTCACTGAGGCCCTTTCATTTCCACTTCTCCCTGTACTCCCCCCAACAGCCTCCTGTGGCTGTTTGGAGAAGAAAACAAGCAGTGTCATACCTATTGTGTTAGACAGATTCCTTGGGACAGGTAAGAGATGGGAGCTTATTCTTTCATCTGTTTTGAGGATACTGCCAAGCCCCATCCCCTGTAAGCTCTCTCTCAGACCCAACTCCATCTCTCCAAAGCACTGGTTGCAGGGAAGTTCTTACAGTTCCTTAGTTACCTACCCCCTCCTCACTCCTGCACCATCTGTTTCCCATCCCCTGGGCTGGAATGCGGGACAAATCAGTGCTGGGGTGGGAGTGGCAGAGGCTTCAGTGACTGCCTGCTCTCAGCCACCCCGGTAGCATTTCCTTTCACTGAAATTCACACCATGCAACACTGAAAAAAGGGGGTGGGGATGTTGGAAGCCAAGGAGGCTGCTTTGCAGAAAGCCCTCCTGGTCCACTCTGGGGCAAGGCCAAGTCCTCTACACCTAGGATTGGGACAGGATGTAGAGCCCAGGGCAGATGGTTGCAGGCATGGAGAAGAAGCCAGCAGCTGTTGGCAGCTGGCTGGGCCCCTCACTGAAAGACCAAATCCAGCACCCTAGATTTAGATGTTGATACTTGAATGAGATGCAAATTGGTTAAGTGGTTACTTCCTCAGTTTTCTAGGCTGTCTGTTTAAGTTAATTTTTAATTTGCACAGGCAATTAAATGCTAGTTACATTATTAATATATTGGAAGAGAGCAGTGGACAGACATCCTAATTGGCATTTAACTAGAGCATTCCAGAAAATTAACTAAGACTTTCTCCTGCAGTGGAAGGACAGCAAGCACAGCCTCTGTCCCTGGCACAATTAGTTCCAGGCATAGCCTCTGCGGGCTGGAAAATCCAGACCTGGCCCCTTCCCCCAGGATACCAAGAGTCCAGAACACACTTAGCTGCTAGTTGAGCTAAGCTTAGGAAGAACTTTCTGCTAGTTAGGCTCCTTCCACTCAAATCTCAACACTCGTCCTCAGCCCCCCACCCAACCAACACTCAACAGAGCAGAGGACCAAATGCTGAATGGCCTGGAGACAAGACCCACCTGGGGTGTGCTTATGATCACCCAACCTCAGCTCTGGGCCCAGGACTGACATCTGGGTGGTCAGAGCTCTTCTCTCTGGATACCATGGAGGCTGCTTTCCCATCCTCCTTACCTTACCTGCTCTGGTTGCAGATGGCTAAGGGAATGAACTTGATGAACTGAGGTATACATTTATTCACTTACACATTCACTCATTCATTTGGTCACACTGAGCCAGGCACTGTGACAGTCTTACCCAGAGTCTCTACTTTTAAAGAGTTCAGATCCTCCAGGAGTCTCAAATTCCAAAACAGCCAGTGCCATGCTGGATGTGGGCCGAAGCAGAGCTGTGTGTAAGACGCTATGGTGGCACAAAACAGGAATGGCTACTTTTGTTTGGGAAGGTCTGAGAGGTTTGATGGATGAGGTGACATTTCCCCTGGGCTTTGAAGGATATACAGGAGTTCTTCAGACCAGAGGTAAGGTAAGAGTATTCCAGGCTGATTGAGAATTTAGTATCTTATATTAGTTGTTCTAAAAGAGGTCATCCTAGTCCAACATGAAACCTAGAGAGGAAACTATGGTTTGGCAACCAGACCATCAGAAAGCATGTTCTAAACATGCTCAAGGGCAGGACCATGTCCTGAGAGCAGTAGGAGGGTGGGAATCTATGGTAAGGGGGTGACACTGGCCCAGCTCCTGGGGGATACTATATCTGACACATTTCATTCCATCCACATAGCAGTGCAAACCCCATGGGCAAAACTGACCTTGTCAGAAGCACAGTCAGGGCTGGGGAAAGGGGAAGATTTCTTTGAAGAGGTGGTACATTTCTTACACCAATTTCAATATGTGTTTTCTTTTCCCACATAGCCAAGCATTTAGCTAAATTTCAACACTACCTGGAGGTAACATCAGATGCCACAGGCTAAGTGCTCAATCCCACAAAACTACCCCCACTTCAGAGGCCAACCACAAATCCAGGTGCTTCTGATTGACTGGCTATAAATCAGAGGTCCCCACAACCCCCTTCATGTGTTTTATTAATTTCCTAGAGTGCCTCACAGAATTTAGGTCACCAGTTTACTCACTAGATTACTTGTTTATTATAAAAGGATATTACCCAGGAACAGCCAGATGGAAGAGATGCATAGGGCAATGTAAGTGGGAAGGGACATGGAACGTCCATGCCCTTTCTAAGCGTGCCACACTCATAGTGCCTTTATGTGTTCACCAAATCCAGAAGCTCTCCAAACTCTGTCTTTTGGGGTTTATATGGGGGTTTAATTATGTAGGTATGATTGATTAAATAATTGGCCATCGGTAATTGAACTCAATCTCCAGACCCTACCAACCACACTCAAGCAGGCATTAACTTCTGCTGGACTTGTATTGTACATCACATCATCATGGGTAATGTCTGTAAATGGTTTTGAAGAATGGAAGGCAGGTGGGATGGAAGAGAAAAGCCTTCTGTGAAAGCTGGAGAGACCCTACACCTGGAACCACCTCTGTCTTGTTCCCACAGCTGAACACTTCTGAGGACCAGTCGTCAGGATCCATCTTGGTACTAGATACTGTGTCCTCCAAACCTTATTTTCTCTCCTGGTTTACAGGCTTGATGGCAGAGCCAGGACAATTCCCATTCCCCATCCCTACCACCAACTCCCAGAGGGGAAACTTCAGGTACTACCCTCTTTCCTTCCTGCCTTCTGCCAACCACTCCTTCCCCTGCATGTGTGGCATTCACACATACACATACTTTGTTATCTGAGGCCTTGTGTAAGCTGGAACCCTCTGGCCCTGCAGTACACAAGCTCATCTTGAGCTCCTCCCTAGGAAGACCACAGGAAGAGTCTTGCTTCTGGGTATCATCAACACACAGCACAAGCCCTGTTGAGACAGACAGCTAAACCATAGGCGTACATCAGAATCACCTGGGGATTTAAAACATCAGTGGGGCTAGAGCCTCTGGGACTGGGGCCCAGGCAGGTGTATTTTCAACAAGCTATCCAGAAGATTCTAATGGACGGCCAGATTCAGAGCCCCTGCCCTGAGGAAGGGGTGGGTCCTGAGATAGAAAGCTGGGACTAAGGGGTATATATTTAGTTGGGTGATGTGGAGAGTTAATGTACAAAATCTTGAGTGCCAAGTAGGCTACTAATTGTCTTATCAGCAATCATTTTCATCATCACCATCATCGTTACCTCTGAGATATAAGATCCTGGCTGATAGTGACTGCAATGGAGGTCAATACCTGGAGGAAAGTAGGGAGCCAGGTTGGAGGCATACTTACAATTCTAATGAAGCTGGACTTGTGGTTTTAGATATCTCTGAGCTCTTGGTCTCTGGCACCTGCAGGAAGGGAAAGTGGGATTCTGAATTAAAAGCCGAGGCAGGCAGTCCTGCAGCCCTCCCCAGATGGAAAGTCTCACTCCATAGTGTCACCACCTTGGAAGAAGTGAATGTGCCTTATGAAAGACAGTGACTGTCCCCTTAGAACACTTTTAGGCAAGTGAAGGAGGGCCCTCTGAGAGAGAGGGGAGGAGGGCAGGCATGTGCCCTGTAAGCTCTTCCCTCTCTGCCCAAGGACCAACCTCTAGAGAGCCTTCCCTGAAGAAGATGTCCTAGTCAACAGGGAACAAAGATCTTTTAGGGGTTTTTTTAAAAGATATTTATTAATTTATTTTTAGAGAGTGGGGAATGTAGGGAGAAACAGGGGGAATGAAACATTGGTGACCTTCCAGTTCACAGGCCAGCCCCCAATCCACTAAGCCATACTAGCCAGGGCAGGGAGCAAAGATCTTTTGGGAATGTCTGGCTCACACTCAGTCCTTTCAGTTAGTGGCCAGCTTCTTTCCATTTTACAACATTCCTGGGACCCCTCAGCTGTGAGAAAGCCTCCATGAATAAGAAGAGTGGACAAGTAATGGAACCATGCCAGGTGCCTTCTGTCCTAGTCTGTAAACCCCTTGCGGGCTGGGATTGTGTTTTATTCATCCAGAGCAGTTAGCCCAGGGTAGGTACAGAGTTGGTGTTCAATGAAGCTTGAACCAAATTGAATTTATCAAAAGGAGGGTCAAGAGGCTTTGCTGGTGATAAGGCCCATCATCCCCCAAGGCAAATCTTCCCTCCAAGCATCCCAGCTGCCTCTGGTGATGGGCAGCTCATGACCTCTTGAGTTACCATCATAGGGGAATTCTTCTAC